AAGGCTATGCGTCGTGCGGCTGCTTTACTCGTCGGAACCCATGACTTCAGGAACTTTGCTCAGGTACTTTGCACTTCTTGCTGTCTGCATTCCTGCATTCGAGTACCTTTACCTTTCTGCCTTCGGTTTTAGATGTACGGAAAAAGATTGATTGCTGTCTTCAGGTTGATATGAATGAGAAGCGGGTCACCATGTCTTTTGTAAGGGAACTATTCGAAATCAGTATAGAACCTGTTAGGTAAGTATGCAGAGTTGAATATAAGTTTGATTGTTGATTGTTCGCGTATAACAGTTCGTCGCCAAATTCGATATCTCGCAATGACTTGCTAGAGCTGACTGTTAAAGGGAGCGGCTTCTTGTGGCACATGATACGATATATTGTTACAGTCCTCCATGAAATTGGGCAAGGGAACGAGCAACCAGAGGTGTTTATTTACTTTGTTTTATTGGTCTTCGTGTTCATAGTCAGTTTTGTTACAGCTCGTATCCGAACTGCTTGATGTCGAAAAAACTCCGTGTCGCCCGCAATATGCGTTGGCTGTTGCGACTCCTCTATGCCTTTTTGAATGCAGGTAAATTTTATCAACAACTGACTTTGAAGAAAATATTATGAGAGTTTGGATTATTTGTAACACACCAGGATAAAGGACAAAGCGTTCCCGTTGGTGACTTACTTTCTGGGGTGCGGCGCCTTCCACCGTTATTCTGAATTTCAGCGGCTTAATGAATCCGAAATGCGCTTTGATATCAAGGTAGGATCCAGGGGATAAAAAGTTCGGTTGACCCTGGCAAAAGTTGAACCAGGTGTTTAACTTCCTGGCCGCTATGAACTGGTGCAGAATGAATGTCTGGTTGGTGGTTAAATTCTGTTAACTTGTCGGTTTTCCCATTCTATCTAAAATTACGAAATTTTGGTTAAAAACGTCACCTAATCATGAGCAACTCAATGAGCTAAAGGTAACTTCTTACTCAGCTGCTGCAGATTTTGGCATTGTTTTCTTTGAGGTTTGACTCGGCAAATCTTGAATGGATTTATGACGACTATGCCTTGAAAAGGACTGTCGCTAACCTGCAGTCTTACTGGGCCGATTTTCAAACAAGGTGAAGCGTCTTTACTAGTATAGTGAGGTTCAGCTCTCACATTTGACTATTTTAGGGCACGAATGATTGAAAATATGGTCAACAATTTGGCGGAAACACCGCTTGGAAATAATGTCGATTTAGATAAGGGTCTCCTGGAGTTCACGCAGGTAATGATAGCATTGCTTCTGATATCGTTTGTAAAAAATAACGGGCCGCACCCGGTAGCGGGGTGGGGATGGTCGGAACCCCATCGAGCGGAGCATTTTCCTAATCCTTTTCATTTCACGTGCACCGTTTACACTTCTAAAGGCAGTTGGCACGATAAATCCCCCAAGACGACTAGGATCAATACTCCTGGCAGGATAGAATTCCGCGACCCTGGGCAGGCGCTGCATAGCGGTTTCCCCGAGGAAGGTGCCCTTATAAGGGCCCTATCAAGCCACAACTTTACGTCCCAAACGCCCGCCACGCCCGCCCGCCCACAAATGGACGACCGTTCCTGACGCTCGTATTCATTCATTTGCTAAGCAAATTATGAAGCGAAGGGATTGGTATGAAGCGGCCGTGATGCTGCATGCATACATGGGTACACATATGCAGCCGTATCTTCGGTAGCGGTGATTGGTAAGATGCCTACGGGAAACTCGTCCGAAATCGATTTACAAGTCACTGAGAACGGAGGCTTTTTCTTCGCAGGATTTTGACCGTTTCACTCCGTTCTTTCGCCATTTCCCCACTATACAGCGCCCTACTAGCATTTTAGGCTAAGTAGGAAACCATCGTGCCAACTGCCTTTAAATGGCGGTGTCGCTATGCCTGAATGTCCCCTTCCCCTTCCCACTAGATAGCTGCGAGGCTCACCTTTTATATCAACAAAAGTCTTTTTGTGCCCAAGAGTGCGTTATTCTCGACGCCCACATTACGGGAATATGATAGATAAGGATGATAAAGTGGGTTCTACCAGATGACCAGCTTTGAAGGGGGTCGTATTTTGCAACATTCCATAACGTGACGGTGTTCTATGATCCCAATACTCATTATCTCATGTGTATGCTAATGTATGCACGATAGAGAAAGTTAACACTTCTTTCAGGATCGACCATTACCGGCTCGTTATGTGAAATTCGCGGATAGGAAAACCTGTGACAGTCTTCGAACAAAAACGTGAGAAACTTGAAAGGAAAAAGGAAGCGATGAAGGGTTCAGGTTGGGCTAAATGGTTTGTTCTTCCTCCATATTTCTCATCCAACTTTTTCCAGAGTAGCGCGAACAAATGCGATGGTTCAGCGCCGTTCCATGTTCACTGTGATTGATTTGTGGCAGGCCGCCGTGTATCGATCGGGGTGTGACTGCCCGTTTGCGGAGATTTGAGTCCTAGTTTTAGCCTCGTTGTCAGTTACGCGACTGGGATCGGGGGGGAAGAGGTGCTTGTTGCATTTTTCGCTCCTCGTCAGTTCCGATTGCATCTTCACGGCTCCGGCTGTACTTGCGAACTTCTGCAAAGCTGGAGCAAGCTCGTCGAGCCGCTATGGTGGAAGCTGTCAACTTTTATAGGCTCATGCAAGAGCTCTCTAGATGGCGCGTCTAGTCGAACACGTCGACAAGTAGTAGCAAAAGTGCAGAATGCCTCCCTCCCCCTCGTCGCCCGCCGAACTGCGCCATCATGTTTATCTTGCGTTGAGTGTTGTGTAAATAAGTAGGATTAGAAGATTTAAACCCAACAAACAAACAACTATGTTGTAATTGTTACCATGTTGTGAAGGGTCGTGGAGGTCTTTGTTGTTATTTCTTCATTGTTATTTGTTTTTAAATGTTTCATAAACTCTTGAGTACCAGGTAACTTTTGGGCACATTGGTTATCAACCGACTCACCATACTGTGATTTCACTTTTTTTTATTTTGGTTGTTTGTTATGAAAGAAGTACCAAAGTTTTGGTTACCTGCGGGGTGTTGCAGATGTCTAGTCGCAAACTGAGAATCCTTGGGTTCAAGAAAACATTTGTAGATATTGAAGGTGAGATCTTGCAGCTATTCAGGCAGTGTATTTTCTCTTCATCCAATCATTATTCTGTTTTGCAGATGATGCGGAATACAAGAACTTTTTCGAAGAAGTAGATGCTTCACATTTCAAATTAAAATCTAGCGAATGGTGGGAAGCATTGAAAGCAGAAGCGGATGAGGAAAAATGGACTGCTGATCTGTTTCAGGTTCTTTTTATTTCGACAGTTTTTCCGCTAAGAGGGGACATGCCGAAACTGAATGCTGTCCAACATATAAGGTTGAATGAATAGGTCCCCGTCGTTTGTGCTTTTTAGAGGTGCAGTCTTACAGGACCGATTGTAGTACACCACTTTAAAGGGCTTCGTCTTGGGTCTACAGAAGCGTTATAGAATGTTTTCTTTTCGAGTGCTGTTTAACGTGTGGGCACTGGGGGTGGGGCATTTTGCACTTTCGCTAGTTCTTTGAATTACAGCTCTCACCTTTGGGATGGCCTTTTATCAAGTGTGCAAGATGCTTCTGTTATTGCATATCCTTACAGAAACTTACAGTACTCCACAGTAGGCATCACTAGTGATTGAGGGAAACGAGCAAAATGCCCCTCAAACCTAATTGCACCCGTTTTTCGTAGTTGAATTTTGTCTGGAACGCAGGCCTTCAAAAAGGAATTTCTGGGTAGAAAGCAACATCGTTCGTTGCGTTCCCTTGAAAAGCTGTTGAGAACATACCGAATCTGCTCTGGACATCTGCGCCGTTTCTGTAGAGGATTCCGCTGCTGCGAACTCTACTCATGAACAGGTTCCAAGGCTGAGAATGCAGTTTGACTGACATGTAATAAGGGACATGTCCAGGTCAACTTTTTTGTGGGGTTGTGGGGATTCTAAGAGCAACCAGGGAATGTTGTGGAGAGCAAGGCGATCCTCAAGCCTATAGATGGTCGAGCTTCACGGTAAGCGCGAGAGTTTGGCTGGAAAGACCCCAACGCATCCAACTCTACTAAGCCACGTTGTCACATCGTCGCAAATGACCATTCGAGACTGGGCTCTAAGAAATCCAATTTTGTACTTTCAAAATGTGAAGTTCCGGAGCTTACACTGTGTATACTCCTATTGATCTTGCGCCAATAGAATGTCTCCGATCACTTTAAAGCAAAATGAGTAGTGTTACCTTGAACCCGCGGATATCTCGAAAACTGGCCCAGCAACTTCATCGGGTCCCAGCATCAACTTTTAGCAAAACAGCACCATCAGACTGGTTAATAGGGAAGAGCAGGTTGTGGACGAGAACCAGGGATTGTTGAATGGGCGTTGTTGCAGAATATTAATACTCTTAATGCAAAAAAAAAACTTGGTGGGACTTGAATTCTCGCCACCTTATTTATTGCTAACCGATATGCTGAGCGAAGATTTTAGTTCACGCGGAATATTGTAGATATAGCTAAACTAGCTGGTGAATTGTTCCCAAATCATCGAGAAAGACTCCAAGCTTAATCAGAGGTATGTGAAAGGTAGGCACTCACGAGCAGTATTCCAAGTGACCGAAGTTGACCCACCAAGCACTTATGGGAAGTATGGAAGGGCTAGTCAGTGGGAACAGGCCCACTGACAGGTATGGGTTGTTCAAGTGGAATGTAAAGAACTAGGAGTCGTATATCCGTGAATAGCCCTGGATTCTATTACTGTGGAGTCGATCCCACGGAGGATTCGACAAGTCCACTGGCAGCTATACAAATATAGAGCGCTAAGTAGTTGTCATTTTGTTGCATTATTCCCTCCTTTCACTGTTTAACTGCTGGATAAGTACTCGAAAATTGTTAAGAATACAAGATTGTGGCTTGCTCCAGTTTTTTTTCCGCTGCTGTAGTGTAGAGTCAAAACCTCTTAACGTTTCGTAGCTCCACAGATATTCAAATACTCCTAAAAAAATGCTTGTTATATCACCAGTAGTTCACAAATGGGGCTATCATTTTCTAGCAGATCTGCCCCACTTGCCTTTGGTTTGTCTCATTTTTGTTGTCGTTTTGCGTTTGGTCATGTTGTACCTTCTAGTTCCTCTCGGACATCGGTGTTAGGGAGAACACCTTCCAAACCGCGAGGAGTCATAGTGAATGCAGTGCTTGATGTGCTCATCGCTAAGAAATACGAACAGAATGGTAGCGTTTGCCATTTGATATCGTTTTGATTTTCTGTTGTGTTGTTTCAAAAAAAATTGCAGAACAAGCGCAGCAAATGACGGGTGCCCGCTTCCACGAAAAGGAAGAAGAACGTATTATGCAGTCTCAAAACAAGCAGAATCCACTGAATCTCATTGACTGTTAGTTAGATTGCTTTTGTTTTTTGTGTTGCTATTGGGTTCCACGAAGTTCTAGCGCTTTTTTTTCTTCGTCCTGTGCAACACTGCTTGTCTACAGATTCTTCGGAAGAGTTCGCTGCGAAGACGAAGAGTTTGTGCCAGTTATTAGGAATTGTCGAGCATCCCAACCCTGCTGTCTGTCTAAAGGTATTAGTGTGAAAAGTCTAGAAACCATGGTAGCTTATGCTGTGAAACCTCAGCAAGTGCTACCACGGTTGAAAATCTGGTCCTACGATAATGTTGTGTTCGTTTTCAGGCTGCTTGCATCTTCATAAATGAAAATTTGAATGAAAGTGTTATCAAGGAGAGAAATGCGGAGCAAAAATCCAGTAAAAAGCCTGTGAGTGTTTTGTGCTATGAATGTTGTATCATCGCAGTGATCATAGGCTTTATTTATTATATGTAAATATTTACACTGTTCTTAGAACGTGTTGGGCTTTTTGTATATAATCTTCTCGTTAAGAGTACATTCGAACTAAAATCATTCCCGTTAGATGTACCTGACCAAAAAGATGGTGCCGTGAACGCGATTGCACGAATTTTACGGCTTCTCAATATTGAGGCTCTGAGAAAGACTCAGACAAGCGTAAGTTTTTTAGTATGAGGGTCCCTACTATTATCTTCAACATACACACTCGTGTTCGCTGCAGATGATGGGGGGTAGGGGGTTAGTGAGGCTGGGTCTGGCACGCCGCCAGTCAGTTCTCCACCAGTTGCTGAAGCGGGCATGTAGCAACAACTGGTAGGAAACGACTGATACGAAAAATATGATTCAGTCTTGCCCCTTGTCGAGAAAAAAAAAGTAAAAAGTAAAAAAAGAGTTTGGCGCCGCGCCAAACCTATTTCTGACACTCCCCAACATCAGCAGCGGGCAAGACTGTGGACTTGTAAATGCTTGTAAATACTTACTTTTTACTTTTTTTTGTAATTGGCTTGTGATCCAAATTAATCCGTTTACAGGTAAATGAAACGCTTGTTGCCATTCAAAATCTGACGATAGATGAAACCAAGAAACCAGCCGTGAAACAAGTCAAATATGGGTTTTAATTCAATATGTGAATCTCTGTTTTTGTTGATACATGTTTTGTGGCGAATATTGTTGATTCATATGTTTATGTTGCATGTTTTTTTTTTGAAAACCGGTATGCTACATTACACTAAAGCATGTTCTAAGATTACAATGTTATGAGCTTGCCAATAATGGCCAACAGCGTTATTTACGAATTGCTGGAAAATGAAGAGTTGTTTCGAGTCTTCGAATGATTCCATGCATTGGTCAGTTGGCATCTGCCACGATATCTTTTTTTTGGAATTTGTTTGTTTGAAAGTTTTGAATGAAGTGATTTCATGTGCAGCAGATGTCAGCAGAAACTCGGCGAAGGCCAAATATTCTGATTACTGGTACACCTGGCACTGGTAAATCGACTTTGGCACAGGAAGTGGCTAGCAGGTTGCAGTTTGATGCAATTGATGTACGTTTTTATGCACACCTTTTTTAAAATTGATCTTGATATTCGTACGGTAACTGGAAAGAGTGCCCTTTAGGTCGGTCGCGATTGTGGACTGCGCGGGACTAACCGCTTACGGTGAAGGGGGGGGGGGGGGGGGGCTCACAACCGCCTATCGCCTTTTAAACGCAATTTCACGCAATAGAAGGGCACATTATAGTCGGCTGCGGGTCCGCACCTTGTGCGAGGAACGATGTCTACCTATCAAATAAGTCGTACAGCGTGCCTTGATAAAAGGTTGATATGTGACGTTAGACAGCTATCGCTTTACATAGTAAAGCCAATACGTGTCGTTCGTACGAAGTGCCGTACGTAATCCTATAAACGGAAGTATACTGAAAAGAGGTAACGGTTTAATATGGGTGAAATTTTTGAAAGGAAGGTTGTATACGGCGCAGAACATTACCCAAGAGCTTAATCACCCATTGTAGAAGCGCAGTTGTCATTCTCTTTTTGTAAAATAATGTAAGTCTTTGAGTCGAACAATGGTGGAACGGTTTCGCCCGCGGCACGAGCTGTCGTGTCTTGGTTACAGTTGCTTTTATTGCTCACTTCAAGTTGTTTACCGTCGTGATATTTTGAACAAGGAATTCCTCGGGTATTGAAAGTTCCACCGGCGCGTTTCGGCGACAAGGAGGGGGAGGATTTTGCACTTTCAAGGTCTGACTACTTCCGCTTTACAAGTCTCATTCTGATGGGAACCTGTTACTCTTGTGGAGCAAGCTCGTGCAGCCACCACGGTAAAACCTGTCAACTCTTGTAAGCTCATGAAATAGCTCTCTAGATGGCTCGACACGTCGATGGGAAGTAGCAAAAGTGCAAAATGCCTCCTGTGGCCGAACGGCTCCAGTTTCACTTAATAGAATGAAAAGAAAAGCTCGGATCTCAAATCCCGCTGTTTTTATCACCTGTCACTCCGAGATCAAGGCTGAAACCAGACATGAGTGTTATTTAGGCTGCTTTCATGCTTTGGGGCGCGAGAATAGTAGAATCGGAGGACTCGAGTATGGGTTACGAAACGGGTTTTGTCGATTCCGCGACTCTCCAAAAACGCCACATCTTTACCTATAATCTCCTGGTAGCACGTTCTAGAGTTCTCATATTCTCCCATTCTCGCGTCGCAAAGTATGGATGTTCCATCCTTGATATTAGTCAGTCAGTAACAGTTATTGTTTTCGAGCCATTGGAAAAGGCGTAGCTATATCCTGCTTGGTACTTTTCTGTACAGTGCTATCATAGGTTGGTAAAGAGGTTCGGGAGCATGGACTCGTGGAAGCCTTCGATCCACGGCTAAATTGTCATGTTCTGGATGAGGAGAAATTGTTGGACCACATGGAGGTACAGTTACGCTACCGTTTTCATCTTGACAGTATAATTTCCAACGTTAAACAGGATCGCATGAACAGTGATGCTGGAGGTGTTGTAGTGGACTACCATGGTGTTGACTTCTTTCCCGAAAGGTGGTTCGACATAGTAGTTGTCTTACGATGTTCAAATACGATACTATATGATCGGCTCGCACAAAGAGGATATGACCAGAATAAGGTATCATGTTTCCTTTCGTATCTTTTTTAATATTTCGCAAGTTACGTTCTGATGAAGATTTCCGAAATTCTAAACACACTCGTGATCTGAAAGTACCGTTTTCGCTTGTAAGGCCTCTCTCTTTCTGCTCGTCCAATCTCTCCTCGATGTTCTCATGATCTCACTTGATGTTTCCATGTAGCCACAGTAGCCACATATTTAGAGTCGCGTTCGCGCGAACAGTTTCACCTACTTGTTTCTGATAGCAACCTTCCCCTTTCGAGCCGCCCAATCTTGCGTCTAGACTACGGCTTAGTGTAACATCTTATCACAAGAACGCTGAGTTGTGGGCGAAGGTAGGCCCTAGGCGGAACCTGAATCCGCACCTCCTGCTGACCGGGATGAGTCCCGCTGTCCATTACGTCACTGTTCAAGACGATGAGCCGGAGAGCGAACTGCGGCGTTGAACAACAGTTATCACACTTGAACAACTTCGAGAACATGTAAAGCCTTGTCCGTTGGACTTCACTGCCGGATACGGTTGAAAGTATGTGTGCTGTAAGGCTGTGGCACAAAAGCCGTTGAGCTGATAGGGTGAGAGCGTCTTCGGTGGCGAAGCGCACTCTACGGGAAGCGGGAGATGCGAAATTCGAAACTGCTCAGGCAGTCGATTGCAAAAGATCTCTTGATTACTTGTAGGCAGTCCTGGAAGTTACTGGAACCCATGCTCCTGTTGATTTCCCTCACATGTACCGTGGCAGCTGTGAGTTCAGTGGAGGTGGAAAGCTGTACTTTGGCGAATAATTAATCGAAGGAATTGAGGGTCTCTTGTGATTCTGCTCTCTGACGCTCATACCTGACCTGCTGTGCAACTTCTTCTATTCGATGCAAAGACAGTCCCCGCACTCAAGTCAATTTGTTGGCGTCTTTCTTCGTACAAGTAGTCTGGTCCTCAGATCTGACAAGGGAATGGTTTGAACTTCCCATGGAACTTTGAATGGAGACCTAGGTACATCGATAGAGCCTCGAATGCTGATTACGAATATGCAGATTAAAAGTGCTACGGGGACCTCCCAGACGAGATCTGGGTGGTCAAAGTTTGAGTTCTGGCTCGTAAGCGCTGCTGATCGATGCCTCGGCAGTGCCACCGTGGAATGGTAATGGTTTCGCTTTCAAGTCAAACGCCATCGGGTTTTGCATCCGGTTTCTGGCGCGAAAATTTTTTGCTGATCATTCCGTATAACGAGCTTCAACTCTAATTCTCGAAATTCTTCTTCGAATTTACGGCCCAGCAGGGCAAGATCAAGTACATCAAGTATACGACGTACTCGATCTAGTATGGATTTGGTCATATCTGCCCTCTCTGAACATATTACCCATCCGACAATTCAAAGTTTTGCCCAGAATCGCAATTTGGCCAGACGAGCGTTTTTTCGTCGAAGGATGTGATATTCGTGTTCAGGGGGTCGAAATCTCCCATGAACGAATTTCTCGCTAAAACTTTGAATTGTCGGATGGGTAATATGTTCAGAGAGGGCAGATATGACCACATCCATACTAGATCGAGTACGTCGTATACTTGATGTACTTGATCTACTTGCCCTGCTGGGCCGTAAATTCGGAAGAATTTTGAAAATTAGAGTTGAAGCTCTTATACGGAGCGAAGCAAAAATTTTCGCGCCAACCGGATGCAAACCCGCATGCGTTTGACTTGAAAGCGAGACCATTACCACGAGGCCACGGTGGCACTGTCGAGGCATCGATCAGCAGCGCTTACGAGCCAGAACCCAAACTTTGACCACCCAGATCTCGTCTGGGAGGTCCCCGTAGCACTTTTAATCTGCATATTCGTAATCAGCATTCGAGGCTCTATCGATGTACCCTGGGCACATTCCACGATTCCTTGGAATTTCAAACCATTCCGCTTGTGAGTGATCCCCTTTTTCGCGCTCTCTCAATGAGCGCAGTCACTGATGCTTTTCCCTAGTTTAGTGCGACTTCACGACCAATCCACAGAGTTTTTCCTTGTCGACACAGATCAGTAGTCACTATCTAACCGTTTCTAGCAGCGCAAGATTATTATTTAGCATTGTTGATGTGAAGAAATGATTATGTGTATCCATGTGGCGTACTGGGTTCGTTTTTGCTGGACGTCCTTAGATAGTCATCACAGAAGATTCTGATCCAGATCCTTACTTAGGTGTGCTCCATTGATTTCTGTCATTTGTTCTCATGTCTTGGGTAGCGTTTTAGCGACTATAGTTTTATAGTTGATGCAACTTATTCATCACAATATACATTTGGGTGATTTGTCCACGCCCTATGCCGTTATCAGTTCCAACAACGGTTTTTTTTCAGATCAAAGAGAACATTGAATGCGAAATCTTCGGTTCCCTGCTCGAAGAGGCACGCGATTCTTATAAGGAAGAGATTATCCATGAACTACAATCTGAAACGGTGGATCAGATGCACGCCAATGTGGACTTCATCTGTCGATTAGCTTCAGAATGGCGACCTGCTCATTAATGTTTTCAATGGCTACTTTGTTAGAATATTTTGTTATGCTGTTCTAGTTACGTTTGTATGGAAATAGTTGTTATTATCTTGAATCAGGAGATTTTACGCGCTTTCGACTACTTGCATAACTGTTAGCTTCAGCAAGCTGTATGATTGTCTTTGCTATAAAAATTTTGCTAGCAAGGTTTGTGTGAAAAGGTGGTTCGTTCCCTCCCTACATCATGAATTACAAAATTTTTAGGTGCTAGCATAGGGGTTGATCGCTTGACAATGCCTTTGTACCTCTTCTCCGAAAAGGTTAGGCTCAGAGAGCAGACGACTAGAGTTTGTCGAGAGGTAGTCCTGCAGATAAGACATAGTTTTCACTAAGCCGAAGTCTTGACGAGAGGGAGAATGGAGGTTCTGGCAAGTGTTCCATCCCAATACGTTAGCAACTAATTTTGTTCAACTCATCTATTCGGCGTTGACAGATGTGTCAAATGTGGCAACGCATTCGATATGGAGTGAGGTGGAAACCGGCCGAGCGGCTTGCTTTGGCAGCTCGTGCGCTCGATATGAAGTCAGTGAAGTCAGTCGATATTTCGCTGGATCCATTGCATAACGGAACAGCGTCGATTAGGTGTGTTCGTTTACTATGGTTTAGTCTTCAGGTGTTTTGGGGCGTTCTTTCTCACTGCAATTTTCCTGACGTTTTTCTTTCTCAGGAAATTCTGGGAATGCATAATGAGTCCAAAGGTTAGGTTAACGAACCCAACTCTCAAGGTGTCAGCTGAAGTGCGCAACGACCGACAACCTCCATTCTTCATTGCTACATTAGGTACGTTTCATTTGAGCAGCATTGGATAAACAGAGTTTGCTGCGTGATCGGTAATAGCCAGAATGTGATT